CTTGCTTTGTTTTGTCTAAATACAGTATAAAACTAATTACCCACTACTTTAAGCTACGTATAGAAATAATCAACCATGTTGAGTATTTTATCAATTATATACCTTTAAAAATAAATCTATATCTATTTGCAACAAAAATTATGATACCTCTACTAATAATAATAATCATTATCATCATAATATGTTTTAATAATAAGTTTTAAAGAAAACTTGGAAGAGCGTGATTGCTGAAATATTGAATCAAATGAACTACAATATCCAAGAAATCCATTAGCAGCTCAGTCTGTGGATAACAGTGGCTTTTCGGTTTTGGATGCTATCAAGAATTGTCCTGTATATTAAAGTTATCAAACTGTGTATATCTTTAAATGTTTTCTTTGTTAATAACTTTGTTATTAATTGTGGTATTTAAATTTTGTAGTTTCATATTTAATACTTTCTTGACAAAATGAATAAAATAATAATTTAATTAACTACTTAAGTTTGTAAAAGCAATTGAATTGTAATTATAATTAATTTCCAAATAAAAAACTATATAATCAGTAAATGCAACTATATGCTTAATTTAACTTCCAGAGCTAGAATTAGGTAAACACATCTAAAAATATTCGTAGAAATTGTAAACAAAGGTGGGAATTTTCAAATTTGCTTCTAATCTTCAGCATTGTAATATTATGAAGATGCCACTTTTTAGAGATGATAATTTCTGAATTTTACTTGCTACTGTATAATACAGTCATTCCCAATCCTTCTTGACATCAAAAGTCCATTCCCACTCTAGGTGACTGATTCTGTCATCATCAGTGAACTTGCTTTTAACAGTATAGTGACCGCGTGCTATCAGTCCTTTAGGAGCCTCATCAATTGCTGTTACATATTTATGAGCTTCATTTTTTGGTCCATAACTTCCAACCATAAAACTTGATTTATCCACTAAAAAAAAGATACAACCATGCCATATATTTGTGTATTTCTTGAAGTCAGTAGTGTTCATGATAGAAATAA